CACCAGCCAAGGCCAGCTTCCTAGTACTCTCACCCTTCTATCCTGCCCTTGCAAGGAGCATCACACTGTTTCCTATTCAACTAACCTGTTGCTTCAAATTCTAACATGGAGCTCACTGAAATGCAAACAATGTTTTTAATTTCTAATACATAGATGATATGCCAGGAACTATTCCAAATGCTTTGCCTATAGTACTGCATTCAGTCCCACAATAACCCTATGAAGTTCATGTTGTTATCATCCCCACTTTACAGATGAGGCACTGCAAGGTTATGTAACCTACTCAGTATCACATAATTGGAAAGGGGACAAGCCAGCATTCCAAGCCAGGCAGTCTGTCTCCAGGGTCTGTAGTCTGAATTACTGTATATCACTTGTCTTTCAGGCTTCAGACTCCCCAGCCTCAAAATACCCAACTGTAAAATGGGGATACTTCAGAAGATGATCTCTTTCATCTTAGAGAGTTTCTTTCCTTGAAACTAAGATTGATCAGTTGTGTACATCTAAAGGTGAGGAACCTTTACTGAACACAGGTTCTGAAGAAGAGCAAGGTATATATGTGGCTCCAGAACGGGAGGAGAAAGGGACCCAGCGCCCACACATGGAGATTGAACTGGAGAGAAAGCTAAGAAAACAAATGTCAACTTGCAGTTTTGTACACATGGCCAATCCCCCTCCAAGCCCATCTCCATAGCCCCCTTAGACCCTGCTCTGTGGATGAATCACAGAGATGGCCTCATTACCTGTGACGATGCAGGTGAACCTGACGTCGCTGTCCTCGGACACAGCCCGGGACTTGAGCGTGGTCTCGAATAGTGGCTGGGTCTCCTCTGTTAGCTGAGCAATGATGGAGCAGAAGGTGCTCCTAGGAAAGGCAAAGAACTATTCAGAGCAGCCTTCCCGCAAATACCACAGCCTGGCGTTGTGCAAGGCAGCTTAAATCTTACCATGTCCATCTGTCATCCTGAGGCCATGGTTCCAGCACCTAGGCAAGTCTTTCTTCAAGGAAGCCTAGGCCTCTTGGCCAGGTTAGGGGCAGGGATGGTACCAAAGGGCTGAGTGGCCTCCTGACCCAGACCCATTACAACAGTCAGGCTTCTGACCACAGGACAGGCTCCTGAGCATGCCAGACCCCCAGCCCTGGTGTCCCCATTCCATCCTTATTGGGGGCCTTGCTTTGGCCTCTACCTTAGAACTCCAGGGATGCTCGTGCATGGAGGAGACACACACAAGGCCAGGCTCAGCCTCAGAGAGGGAGACCCCAGCACAGCAGAGCTCCACTCATGTCAGAGAGGGAAAAGCTGGCTAGCCCTCAAGGATACACAGGTCCTAAGATACAAGGAACTCTCTAAAGCTTGGGCTCAGGAAAAAAACCCTGCATTTGTAAACACAAACCCATAGCAGACAAAGAATAAGCCTGCCAATGCTAGGGGTCCAGACCTCAATTCCTAGGGGTATCAAAAAAGAGACTCAAATGAATTCTGACCCTAAACAGGGCTATGGATCTGCAGTGAGAAGCCAGCCATATCCCCCTGCTCCATCCCTGAAACCCATATGCTCAAGTGAACACATGGCTGGCAGCTCCAGGACCAACCAGCAGGACTGCCAAATCACAAACAGGACTTTTAGTTCCCTGTGACAGTCAATATTACAGAATTCTGGTGCATTTGTGGGCTGAGTCCAGTGTGGGCTCACCAACAACAGTCAGCATTTACAGTCTTCTCCTTCCTGGGACAGGAAGCAAACCACCACACCAAGCCTCCTTGTGAGCCAGCAGAGAAACAATGCGTCCCTAGGCGTGAAGCATTAACCACACAGCCAGGTTGTGTGGTACACAAGCCGTGCCCAGCCCTCCTCCCTCTCCAAATTCACACACTCTGTTGTGAGCAGCAAGGACTGTGAGGATAAAGTAAAGAGAAGCAGGAGGAACTGTGAAGAGAAAGACAAATCATTCAAAGTTGCCTTTCTCCATGGTCACCCACAGGCAATGTGTGTCCGCCCACGACCTCTCCACCAGGGGCTGCAGGGACAAGCAAACAAGAGCTACAACCCACATTCAACTTGTCATTTCCATAGATATCATTCTGGACTTGAGTTTGAAGAGAAAGGCTGCATCCCAAGAAGTGTGTCTGGAATCAAGAAGACTTCTGGTCTAACAGGGGTGCAGCCATGGCTTCTCCACAGGGCCGACTGCAGAGGCCCGGGCCTTCCAGGAGTTGAAAGAAGTCCTCCCCTACAAAGACTACCCAGAAAGGGGAGCCCAATCTCTCACATGCCCCAACATTTGAGTGAGGCCTGCAGTTAGATGTCCATGACACTCCCTGCAACGCTCTCACCTAAAGCTCATCTAAAAAGTGTCTTTTCCTTTCCTTTTCATACCCACTTAGAACAGAGGGTCCTTTAGGACCTAGACTATCAAATCCCTGACACTCAGGAAACACCACATCTGAAAACATTTCTCACTGCTCTCACACTAACAGCAATTTCTGACTTTAGGGAATACCAAATCCCAACCAACAGTTTCTAGAGGAAACTGTCTTGCCAAAAGTAATTGGACTTCTATGATTTTGCAACTAATTCAAAACATCCCTGATTATGTCCTCCCTACTTAGTTTGAATCCTATCTTACTTACGAACATGAACTTGAACCTAATATTCAGCTTAGGCTCTTAGGGATGAAGCTGCTTAGGCAAGCCTAAAAAAATAGTTTTGACTACTGGATGAGTGAGAAAATATGAAAATCAAGCTTCAAGAAAATTTGCAGAGACAAGTGCTCATGCTACATATTCAACAACAGATAGTTATTTCATTACTTTTTTTGAATGGGAAAGTATACTTACCTTCTCAAACTTTCCACACTAGGTCCTAAGCTATATTTTTTAAAAAATATTTACATTGGAAAATTGTAGTAACTATCGAAAGGCATGCCTGGATGAAAGCCCTCCAGAGAAGTGGGTCCGGCGTGCATTTCAGGGGACAGGGAGAGACACTGCATACACTGTCATGTTCCACTGAATGTCACATGCTTTCTGTCCCCATCCTCCAAACCATTTGGACATGGGATGGACTCTGTGTGCTGCTTCTAGTACCCCAGAAAGCCAAGAAGTCCACTCGTCTGGAAATGGTCTGGTCCCACCCTGACAGCTCCAAGTCCTTCCAACTAACTCTGTGACTTCATAAGGATATCACAGCCTAATCACGTGTTCTCTGGAGAACACCAGAATCATTGGTTGTCATGATGTTCAAAGGAACCCACCCTTGTCCTTAGGTTTGGTTATTTACCCCGTTGTAAATAAACTTCCAGGATTGTCTCTTTTCCAGCACTGACCATGCTCCATTTTGAACTGGTTGTGATACCCTGTCTTCCTCACAGAAGATGGTTCCTCAGTGTTCTCCCCATCAGAGGAAACCTACATGATAGGTGCTAATCACGTCTGTAGATTTTACTAGCTATTCACAAACCAGTTAGCTACTCAGAAATCCTTCTGTGTAAAGAAACCGTAGCCAACTCTCCCCAAATCTTCCAGAGTCTGGGATGAGAACCAGTGAAGTGAATAGCCAGGAAATACTCCCAACTTTGATCGTAACAGTTAGTTCAGCCAGGGGTAGAAAGCTGTCCCCAGCTCGGGAGGCAGAAGGGCAGTCATTCAACAGGGAAACCCCACCCATGGCCTGCTCAGGCCCTGTGCTGGCTCTGCAGCAGATTCAAAGAACAAGCTATGCAAGAATACAGTAACAAGGTGTCCCCTGACCTCACAGAGTTCCCAGTCTGCAGGGATACAGAGGAGCCAAAGGAAAGGGAAATTCAGAGAAGGAGATGGTAGGAGAACTGAAGGGACTGAAGAAAAAAAAATGTAGGGCAGCAGCCATGGTTAGAAGACAGACAGTAAGGTGTCAAACCTAGATGTGTGGTTATGAAAACCTAGGATGAGAAGAAATGGGTCACATGACTGGCAGCTCCCCATTCTAGTCCAGGGGTACTTCTCCCAGGGGCAGAGATACAGTGCAGGCATCTCAAAACTCTTGCCAATTTCTGGGTCCCTGCACTCCTTTCAAACGGTCCATGCAAGCATCGGCTCTGGCCCCTGTGAGACCCATGCTCACGTGAATACCTCTCACACCCTCCGCCACCCACTCTCCAGCCCTCCCCTCACCCCATGCAGCCTGGTTAGTGCACAAGCAATCAATCCGAGGCCCCTCAGTGACCAGACTCGAGAGAAAAAGCAGTCAGAGAAATGTAATGCAGTGTGCATTTACCTTCCAGAGCTGGGGTGAGACAACCGGCTGCTTGATAAGCTAAGCAAAAACAGCAAATGGAATCATTAGGCCAAAAAAGCAAGGAGAGGAGGCGACAAAATCAACAACAGTCTGCAAAGTATTAATCGGTCACCATCTGGGGCCCAGAGGCCTTTCTATTAAAAGGGACCAGCTGTCTTAGTTGGCCTGCTCCAGTTAGCAAGTGGCCTCTCCTCCGGACACCAGTCTTTCTGAAACCAAGAGCTCGTTAAATGCAGCCGAGTCTAGGGAAATGGTTAGGCAGAAAGGAAGCCCCTTGAGGCTGCCCTCAGAGAAAGGTGTGTCCCAGGTACCTGAGTCAGTGCCCTCAAGAGGAGGGCTTAGAGCTTCTTGGCACGTTTCCCCACCCCACAGCACACCAGCCTAGGGGTAGCATCTGCTTCAACCCTTGGCTATTGTGGAAGAAGAGATCCCATTCCTGGAAATCCCCTAACAGGCTGGGAAGGACACCGGTGGCTTGGAGAACACCCATTAATGTGTTAAAGTTCTGTTAAAGAGGCCAGGCAAGGCAAACCAGCTGGGAGAGTGAAGAAGAGAAAAACAAAGCAGTTAACTGAGGAGGAGCCAGGAGGCACCCAGCTCGGTCAGACCAGCACAAGGTCCATTACACCTAGAGCCCTGATCATTCGTCCATTCTTCCCTCGGGGCGCCTGAGAACAGACACTGGCTAGGGCCACTGCGGGGGAAGGACCCACCCACCACTGCCCCTTAGTGGAGATCCAGCCCGTTTGATATAAGCCAGCTTTTACCTCTTCCTCAACCTTTCCCAACACAAATATCTCCAGTGGATTTAGGGACCCTGTCTCCCACAGCTCTTGAGGAGACCTCAGGGGCCAGCCCGCCCACACTAACTCCTTGCAGCTGTTTCTCTCTTGCTCGTATTATACCTTTAACCACAAGAAACCCCACTGACAGCCTGTCTCCTTATACAAAGACCAACCTCGTCCTCTACTCCAAAACACAACTTCCACTCCAGGAGGCGTGTGGATACCACTAGCATTCTTCCTGACTCCAAAGCTCCAAACCTGCCATTTTAGACTCTTCTCTCTTCCAACCCCAAGTCCAAACACTCAACACTTCTTGGCCCTTCTTTCTCCCTTTCTCTTGACTCCTCATGTTGTGTTGTGATCTAGACCCTCAAGGCTCTCTATCTGATGACTACTTCAACCCCTTTCTCCTTCACCCTTCATCACACTCTTCTGAAAAAGATGCTACAATCCCCCCGTCACATATTATACTCTCTCAAAGCCTTGATTGGGCACTTAAGGCCCTCCCTGACCTATTCACACTCCAACTATGACCATGGTTCTCCACTTCCCAACATTCAGGTTCCACTGTAATCATACCTGGCCCTAACTGGCATGGCACGTCCATTCCTGGCCTCTGAACCCTCACTTTTGTCCTCCCTGCTTAGAAAGCCCTCCCTCTTTCCTTCTGCTCAACTAAATCCTAATACCCACCCAGCCTTCAAATCTAGCTCTATTTTGTAGCTTCTAGAGACCCCAGCACAGCGGTAGGCATACAGTGGATATTCAATAGCTCTTTCATGGAAGGAAGAAAGAGGGAAGAGGAAGCAGGGAAGGAAGAGCAGTGCATCTTTCAAAGAGGAAGGGTCCTGCCCCCCAGGACCCTTTTCTGCTGCTCCAGAAAAGATGGAAAAGAGAAAGCAAGAATGCAGCTGCCTTTGCTCAGAGCTTTAAAAATCCGCGTGGGTGGAACCTCCCATGGTTCCAAGGCACTGGCCAACTCCATCCTTTCCTGACCATGAACTTCCTTTGCCTTTCTCCTCAGAATCGAGAGGTTTCTCCTTTGTTGGGTCTGGATTTCTTCCCTGGGAAGTAGAGGGAGAGAATCAGCCAAGTCAGAGAGAAAAATGACAGGTTCCACCTGCAAATGGGCAAAGCATTGTGCTGGGAGAGTGACCCTTCCCCAGCCCTCTCTCCAGGGCTAGTTGGAACACTCTGCTCCCTGGCCCCGTTGTCCTTTCTCTAGGCCCCACCCTTACATCGTCAGCCAGGTCAGGAGGAATCCTGGGTGATGAAGGCACGATGTCTTCAGAAAACAGAAAATGACTGTCCCCTGCAGATGGGCCAGAATTAGGCTCAGGTGTCTCACCTAGGCAAGGAACTCCCCATTTACTGACTCTGAAGGGGTCAAAATCAGAGGCGTCAAAATCAGAGGTATCAAGTGTTGGAGCAGAAAGGCCTTAAAGAGTTCTAACACCACCTTCATTTTACAGAATTGGCACTCGACCCAGAAAGGAAAGGTCTCTTCATAAAGGATAGAAGTGGGCCTGGGCGAAAACCGGGACTAGCCATATAAGCTATGGGCAGCCCTCCACCTTTCCTGGCTTTCACACATTCTGAGCCATAAAAGGTCCTTGGAAAGTTCTGACCTAAAATGCCTGTTTCTCTGAAAGCCCTAGACAACCCACCTGACTCAAGCAGAACAGAACAGATGTTACAAAGTTGTCATAGCAAAAATCATAGCTTCTGCTGCTCCTCTGAGCCCACTTAAACGAGAGCCTCCAAGAAATGAGGAGGCAGAGATTTCTGGAACTTCTGAGTGTTTCTCAGAAACTAGTTAGTTATAACTGCATCCACACAACTGTGGTCCATGCCCCACCTGCCTATAGGGGTGGGGTCCTGGAGGCTGGACACCCTAAGAGGCTGAGCCTAAAGTTTGGTGGGACGACTTGCATGCTCTGTACCTCTGATCCCAGTGGACACTGGAAATATTCTTCAGCTGACCATGGACTGAAAACCCCTCCAGGGCTGTGGAGTGGTAGGAGGGGAGGTGTGTGTAGGAAGACAGGTTCTAGACCTGGGCTAAGGTTTCTGGTGGCCTGGCCCCCAGCCCAGCTGTCTGTCAGCTCCCAGAGGCAGCTCATTTTCACAAGAGCTCATGAGAATGATGCCCAAGAGCTCCATGATTTGTAAAGAGGTATACCCAGAAGATGTTTGAGCTAAGAATGATTGGGGACAGAAGATGCCTCTCAGCCAGGACTCTGGGATAGTCAGGGCTCATCTGCGCTACAGCCAGGGACAGCTGGCAAAGTCCTTAAGGGACCCTCTTACTCCTTTACCTCTTGGGCCCTCTTCCTATCCCCACAGGCAGTCAGGCTGTTCTGAGGGACAGGACACTGTACGGTTGCCTGCTCTAACACAAGAGTTAGGCCTTGCTAGAGAACTGGGAACTGCCCCCCTCTACTCACCAACACAACCTCATTCACATCCAGTCTCCCCTCTTTGGCCACAGGTTTTCCCAGAGGTGAGAGGAATCTGGCTCTCCTTGTCTCTCAGGACCTGAGGTGGTCTATAACCAGCTGGCAGGGGCAAAACACAGCCCACAGTCTCGGGCTAGAAAACCCTCCCTCCCACTGCCTCAGCCCTGCCCCCTCTAAATCTTTGATGAAAAGTGTTTCCTCTTAAGAGCATTCCCACTTCGGTCCAAGGAACTTAAGCCAGCCACCTCTATCCTACCTGTAGCTCTCAGGCTGGCACACTGCTTTGTGCTCATCAGGTGTGCAATTAAAAATTTCCTGCCATACAACTGCTCAGCCAGGCAGCGGGAGAGTGAACACAATGTCCACTTGCCAACCTTTCTCCTAAGAGCCCAGATCCCCTGTCCTCCCCATTTGGCCTGGTTTCCTACCCTGCCTCCATTGCTGCTGTCTCCAGGAAAGGCCCTGTCTCTCTCTTCTACTTGTTCCACTGGTATTGACAAAGGCCAGATACGGGAGGCAAAGCCCAGACAAGTCACTGTGACAAGTGTGAGACAAGTGTGAGGTTCCCATAAGGCAGTCAGCTTCATCAAAGATTAGAATAAAAGACCAAATTTCATTCCAATGTTTCCATAGAGCCAGTAGTTAGGAGGAAGGGGCATTCTTTCCTGGCAGCCAGGGGCCTCGTCCAGTCTGACTTAGTCACTAACACAAGCCCTCAGCCCTGCCCCAGACATGTGACACCATTTGACAAGTTTTATGCAGAAACAGGTTCTAGTTACATTTGAACTTTTCCAACTTCAAGGTCAACAGAACTCAGCCAATCCACGAGGAAGTGCCTGGGACTTTTCCTGAATGTCCTTGATGCCTATTTTTGTGTTGTTTTAGGAACTGAGGACAAGAGGTATCCAAACAGGTTCTCATAGTGGCCGTTTTCTGTACTACAACAAGCCAAATTCTGGAGCTGTGACAGAAACAATAGCCAACCTTCACAATTCCCTTTGGAACATAGCCCTCCGTGTTGGAGGGAAACTGAGCTGCCCAGAGGGGGCAGGAAGTATCCGTCTCCATGGCAATGCACGTGTGTATCTGTGTGCCTCTGGGTGGCTGTCTGCTTCTCTACTGTCTATCTGTGTAAGTCTATATCTGGGGTGGCCTAGATCCTAAAACAAAGCATGCACACCTCTGTAACTCTTGCAAGAGAAGTAAAAGGCGCATCAGTTCAGCCTCTTCCTTGGCACCCTACTCCCCCAAACTGGGCAGGGCAAACTGGCTCCCACTGAGTCAAAGGTTCTGAATCTTCGGACAGAACTAACCAGCACCCCATCCAACCCAGTCACCTCGCCAGCTCCCACAAAGATCCTGGGGAGACCAGAGTCCTGGGCTCAGAAGAAGAACCTCGTTGGCATAGGTTTATTTCTTCCTGGTTACCTCTCCATCCAGCTAAGAATCTCCACTCGGGGCAGTCCCCCAGCGGCTCCCCGGAATCTTCCCCTAGTCCTCCCTTATCCCTGACCCGGTAAATGCCCTCCTCTCCCTTCCAGCCGAGGAAGAATTTCAGGCCCTCTGGCTTCCTTATCTCTCGCTGTGGAATCCAAGGCCAGGGAGTAGCCAGTACGGGGTGAGCCATGGGGCGGGAGTGAGGGAGGGAAGATAAGGAAGCCTTCAGGCCCCTGTGAAAGCGCCCCCAAGGAGGCCCTTTCTCCCCTCAGTGTTAGCCTTGCCCTGCCTGAGGCCTACAAGGGGCCATGAGGGGACGTGAGAGACCCTGGGCGCCACTGCGGCCTGTCCATGTCCCCATGCTTGGGCCTCCAGAGGATGGGCCCCCCACCCAGAGCCTTGCTGTGGCCTCCGCCCTCCCGACGCAACGCCCGTCGGCCCCCGGGGCGCGACTCACCTGGTCTCGGGCCGCACGCTAAGCAGGTAGCTCCGGCTGGCGGGGCT